GACAGTCGTCGGCCCAGGAACGTGTTGACCGCAGACTCATCTGATGCAGCAAGCTCACGGGCAAGCTCAACTTCCCACGAACACAGATTATACAACAACCTTAGATTAGGTTGAATGAGAACACTGTGTAAAAGGTTAGAGACCAAGACCAAACGATGAGTAGGGACATTACCTAAGACGCCTAGAACGAACCAACAGGTATGCATCGACTAGAGACATGTTCAAATGCTTCATGACATAAGCAATCTACCCGTTTCGTTAGCATCATATAGACGGGGGCAGTGAGGCGACGCTTACGGTCACGGTGGCACTCCTCGACACTCCAACACGACAATGGACGAGAACCTTTCCACCCTCCTGGCGAGCAGCATCAATCCAGTCGCATACTTCTCTGAATCGGACTCTGAGACTGTCAATGCCGTCATCGGATACGCCCTATCAGATAACGGTTAGCTTGAATGGTGGCAGATGCAGACACAGTCTCCCATACCTTGATATCCAAGACCTTGATCCTCCCTTCTCTTTCCTCAATCCACAGAGAACCAGGACCGGCTCCTAGAACCTTGCCACCATACGAGAACCGATATTCCGCCGCTTGGGTGCAATTGGCCTGTGGTGGCACCAGTGCACACTCACCCACAGACACAACGTGGGTGATTCCGAGGGCATGAAGCATGTATGCGTTGGACGCGTGGGCCCTGCATGTCCACAGTCAGTCACATGGCCCAAACAAATGAAGCCCAGCCTCTGAGCGCTCATTGGTGGATTGACAAAAATGACACTTACAAATTGCCCAGGTACAAGAACGGTAAAACTCGAGATGGGAAGGACCCATCGAATCTGGGATCGCTAAACCATGCCCAGTGATCGGCCCACACTTGGGGCATCGGGGATGTGGAGGCCCTAGCTCGTCCTTTAGGGGCCCCGCCGGCAACCTTGGCCGAATTAGGGGTAGAGCTAGACATGGGCAGGAGCATTGCGACGGCTGCAGATGATGACTGAGGATGTTCATCTTCTTCAGGAGGTGGTGAGGGAATATTGAAACTGCGAGAGCCCCACGTCGACCACTTCCATTTGCTCGACCCGCCATTCAATTGAGAGGGGGAGTCGACGGCGCTTTGAGCATTGACGGTAGCTCTTCTAGCAGAGATTTCGCGGTCTCTTCCTCGGTCCTTTGCCATTTCTCGTGAAGCCGAGTAGAGTCTCGCTTCAGCCTTTTTGAGAAGCTCCATGTCCGAGGGGTATACGTAGAACGACCGACCTCGGGCAATCTGTAGCTCGAGATACGCATCGGGAAGGGACATGCCGCTAGTAGCGTTACCACTCCTTGTCGTGTAATTTTTAGCTAATGCAGTAGAGTGCGCACGTTGGAACGGTGGTTGGCTGCCTGA